TCTACACACTCAGACACCCACACAGGACTACTGAGCAGGAAAGTCAACTTCAGCCGGAAACTCCGGGCCTACCCCACCAGCTGACCTCTGTAGCTTTAGTATCGATCTACTCACCTCTCTTACCATCTGGGGCAGCTTTCCTCCTCTACCACCATGTGTAATGCTGTCTGCTCTGGCTGCCCTATAGCCGGATGGAACCGCTGGTGCAAAGGAGATACTATTCAGGGAAAAGACTTTTGTCAACTGCTGTCCCCAGGGAGGGAGGCCGAGGGACTGGTACTGGCCTTCCCTTTCTGCTTCCCCAATCCTTCAGGCGGTGACTCTTAGATGTCTGTCTTCTTTCTCAGACAGAAAAGCCCATTCCTCTTTAAAGGCTTTGCCCTCCACTCCTCAGCGGCCTCCACTTGGCCACCCAGACGCCATGACAGCCATCTATTACTCCACTGGGCTAGACAGACAGCTTTTGAGAGGATAGCCACAGGAAGACAGGAAGGGCCAGAAGGACCGTGTGTGTATTTCCGTGTGTGGGTTCAGGGAGTGTCTATGTCGCCAAGCCAACAGCGGTGGGAAAGTCCTCAGCTTCACTGGAGGGAGGAGGGGCTGTTTTGCAGCCATTGGCGGCCGAGCAGAGCCAGTGGTAGCGGGAGGGAAGCAGAGGCTGCTAGGCACTGATTGGCCCAGCATGATGGCTGTGGCCAGAGAGCCGTGGTGCCTACCCCTACCAAATTGCGTTACAAGGCTAGTAGGGTTGAGGGAAGCCCAGCTTGGTTCCTAATTGCTGAAAAGTCAAAGTGGGTAGTGTGCCCTAATGGTACCGCCTTAGGAAAGCCCAGTGGCACTCCTGAGACCTTGCTCCACCTCTGAGAGAAAGTGCTACCTTTGTCCCAAGCTCAGAGAAAGGTGGACTCCAGAGGGGCCTGGACCCATGAAGACCGCCCTAGGTCCCCTCCTCTGCTGGGAAGTCCCAAATACACCTGATCCACCCCGGGGCCGACAGAAACCATTTCTAGCAGCAGGGCCCTCCTGGAGTAGGGGTGCGCGTTCGTCACTAGGCACATGAATGGAGATGTGCCAGGCAGGGCCTGGCTGCGCACGCCTCCGCGCTGGGCTCGGGCGGCTGCTGCCGCCTGTGTTTCCGGGTCTGCGGCTGAGCCTTCCTGGCGTTCTCCTCTGGCTTTGTCTCACTGCCAGCTTCTCGCCTGTCCTCACCAGTCTCCTGGGTCCACAGGTCGCGCTCTGCCTCCCCGAGTGCGCCTTTGCGCACGTGTGGCTGGCTTCCCAAAACCTGGCCTCTTTCTGCGGGCTACTGGGCACTGCCTTAGGGTTGCTGTGTGTGCCCACTTCTAGAGGGTTCCCCAGTCTTTAGAAACTGTTCGCAGGACTACGAGACAGGAGCCCTGGAGGGCTAAGGGTTTGCTTCGTTCCAACCCAGGCCAAAACTGGCGAGGGGGCTTTTACTAGATCTCCTGTGCAGAGTCGAAGGGGGACACTTCTGCGGCTGACCTTGCTGTATGTGGCCCTCTATCAACACTCCGGAGACTGGTAGTCGCCGTGAAGAATATGGGCACACTGTTCTGCTGCCTATCGGAAAGTTGGCGGGACATATGGGCTGGGGTCCGAGTACCCAGAGTGCACGCGCACGTGCCAAATGCAAGGACCCGTTGTGGATCAGCGGGCTGGGAGTGGTGACTGGGCTGAAAGCCAGCGAACACCTGGGAACACCCTAAGCCTCAGGGCAGGTGACACCCTTCGGAACCCCGACTCCCTCCTCCCCACACCCCCCCTTCCCCCGGCCCGCATGCGGTCGGCCTCTGCGGCGGAAACACGGTCCAACTCCTTGAAAGTAAACTTGCCGCGAGCTGCCAGGGCCGGGAGAGAGGGAGCGAGCCGGCGGGGGTGTCTGCGTCGGGGAGGCTGGGAAGGCTAGTGTCAAGTTTCAGCCCCTAATGACAATCGATGGCGAGGTGCCAAGGCCCTGGGAACGGTTTGGGGGGGAGCGGGGGGTGGTGGTGGAGGCGCGGGTTGAGTGAGAAGGACCACGCCGTAAGGCCCAACTTGCGAACCCCGAGACGCTAGGCGCCCATGGGGGCAGAGGGAGGCGGCGGGGCGGGGGCAGAGGGAGGCGGCGGGGGCGGGGGCGGGGGCGGCGGGTAGGGAGGGGCGCTGGAGGAGCCGCGGGAGCGGAGCGGAGCGCAGGCATCTTCCGCAATCCATTCATGCACTGAAGCGCGTGCAGAGCTGCTGCTCGCTGCCATTGTTACTCGCGGGCGGTGTGGGAGCCGAGCCTCCACTCTGGCGAGAGATAAATGGCCTCTGACAGCCCCTCCTCGCCAAGAGAGCTCCTCGGATTTCACCGCGCGGCGGCTCTCAGGTCTGTGCCTTGCTCGCTTCCCGGTGAGAACCTCTAAATCAGCCTCCCCGCCCTCCCTTCTCCCGGGGACTCTGTCCCCCGCCCTCTCCGGCCGGGCCAGGGCCCCCGGGGGCGCTGCGCACAGGCTCGGGTCGTCTCTCCAGCCCGGGGTTACGAAGTGGGAGTACCGAGGGGGTCCGGGGGCCGCGGGAGGGGAGAAGCAGCTAGCGCCCCCCACCCGGGCTCCGTTCCCCCGCCTGAGCGCCCCGCCTCCGCGCCCACAAGATGGATCAGGCTACCGTGCGGAGAGCGGGCTGTAAATATTTTAAAAGTCTCTCGCGCGCCGGCGGTAATGGCTTTCGCAGTTGGAATGTGTGTTAGGGAAAGAGGAAGGGCGACGTTTGTGCTGTGTTGCGGGTTGGGGGAATTGTTCCTATACCCTCTCCCTAGGTTCGGGGTGGGCTGTACAGCCAGGATCCCCGGTTTCCCGCCCCGCCGCGTCCCATGATAGCATCAAGAACACCAGTCGTTAGGGAACTTGAGTATATAGCTGGGCGACAAAAGGCCCAGTTGAGGTGACCCCAGAGTCACTCCGAGGGAGGTCTCTCAAGGTCTCGGGCTGGGACTGACCCGAAGCCTCTGGTCCAGGTCCACTTCTCAAGGTTGATTCGGGGAGGGCGGGAAACGCATAAATAAGAGCCCCCTGAGTTTGCGTGGCCACTAAAGCCGGGGCTGAGGTTTCTGCAGCGGGAATGGGTCCGGTTTGTGTCTTTGGTCCTCTTCCCAACTCCTCTATAAAGCCTCGATCCACTCAAAAGGCGCCATCCGTTTCGCATTTGAATCTGAAAGTAGCTTTGTAGCTACTTAGGTTCGAAACCCGGGAGGAGGGAGCGGGGAAAGGTCAGGGCCCAGAGAGGTTAATGCCCAGGCTTGGTGGCAGTCACGTGTGGGCATGGAGGGACTCTTGCTTCCTTGGGTAGTGTAGGCTTGCAATCTTTAAGGCTAAGCCCAGCCGGATCGGAGAGGGTGGGGGAGGGGAATCCGGCCTTCTCGTAGAGAGAGACTTAATGGGCCCACCACAGGGTGTTGTGTGTGTGGGGTGAGGTGGTCGCCTTTGCCAGCAGCAGCTTCCTGGCAGGGCAAGGGCGCCGAGTTGCATAGAGCTGGGGCAGGCCAGGTACACCAGCTCGTCGCGGAAGGTTCCAGGAGTGTGGGCCTAGGCTAGGGCTGTTCATCTGTACCCTAGACCTTGCTCGGCTCCCCGACCCGCCAAAGAGTGGGTGAGGGAGGCTTTTCGGGGCGCGCCAGGGCTGCCCTAGACGTTCCAGTGCGTGGAGTTCCCGACTCTGGCAGCTCCACTTCCAAGGGCTTGTGTTGCGCCCTTCTCACTTGTTTGTCTCGTGTGAGCCTCGTAAACCGCCCTGATTTATTACCCAGACTAAATGCTTAATTTGTGAATATGAAACAGATTAAAAAGGGCGGGGGGAGGGGGCTTGAGGTCGGCATATTTTAGCAATCAGACCAAAGCAGCCCGGCAGATGTTTCAAATTTGTCGACATTTTCAAGCTCATGTGGAAAGCCAGTCAGAATGGTCAAGAGGGCTTTTTTCCTTCCTTCAACCTGAGAACTTGGCAGTGATCAAAAGGAGGTGATTAGTAGCTACACAAAAAAGACACCAGCAGTCAAGGAGTTAACAGAGGCTGAGCTCTTCACCTCCAGGATTGGGGTGGAGGGGATGGGGGCCCGAGGGTCACAAAGGCAAGCTGATCACAAAGCCTGGAGGGGGCCAGGCTAAAAAGGCCCAAGTATTAGAAGCTAACTCTGAAGAACAAAGTCGAGGGTCCATTAAAAGTTAATTCAGTAAATAAACTTCAGTGGCGATAAAAACAAATAAGAAGGATGGTAACTCCAACTTCAAATAACCAACAGATAACAGAAATAAGTAGCTCTGATGTGGCCTACCCATGTGCTTCCCTTCAGGCAGGTCCCCACAGTGAGCGGCCCAAGACAGGCCTCTGTGGAGCACCCTCTCTCTTTGAAAAGACCCCATGTGTACAGGCTTTTTGGCGTTTGTCATTTGGGAGCAACTTCACACATCAAAGGCGACCACAGTGTTCTTTTCAGCTCCCTGGTTCCAGCCGCCCAGTGAAGCAGATACAATTTCTATAAATTGGCCTTCTCCTCTGGGTTTTGATTGATCATCACCATATGAGATTATTGAAAGTCTAATGTCTTATTTCACTTTCTCCAAGGGGTGAGGAGGGGAACAGTTTATTGGAAGTCGGGCCACGTGAAGACTCCCGTGTTGTGCAATAGTAATTTCCATTAGCCTGGATTTATCAGCCTCCTGAAACTCCCATGCATTTCCTGCGCTGCCTGGTTCCACCTCCCCTCCCCCTCCAGGACTGTGCTTCGGTGGCTGTTCACAGGTACAGTCCCACTTCCCCTCCCCTCCCCTCCCCCCCCTCCCCTCGGGTCTGTGTCTCCGTGGCTGTTCACAGGTACAGTCCAAACTAGAGCCTTCCTATTGGGAAGGAGAAAATGGCTGTGGACTAAGCGTAAAGAAACAAAAGATGTATTTTTAAGCATATTTATTCCAATGCCCCAAATCCCTTCTTCAGCCTTTGTTTCCCACTCCAAACTTTTTTGTCCCCCTTTGGCCTGGATACGATCTTTCATTTTATTAAAGTTGATTATGGCTCTTCTGTCTTGTCCTGCGCCAGACAAAGGCTTAGAGAAAGTCAAAGAACGTGTTAATTATATGTTTCTTGTAAACTGACTTTTCATTTCCCCCTAACACATTTAGCTGGCTTGGTGTTTAGTTTAACACTCAATTGCTGCAAATATGCTGCTTAAAATGCTGTCTTTATTAAAACAAATAAATGAATTCAAAGACCTTTCTAATTTCAACTCGCGAGGGCTAGAAACAGAAGAGAAAAATGGAAGGAAAGAGCATAAGCTAAGGAAAGGTAGCAGGGAGGCTAGAGAGAACACACACACACACACACACACACACACACACACACACACACACACACACACTGCATTCCTTCTGCCGTCCCTCCCTGCAGCCATGTTAAACTGGTCCATACAATTGTCCCTGGCTGAGCCCTGCAGCTTGCCAGCCTGCCTGGATTTTCCATCACTTGGTGCCTAAGGCAATCATTAGCTGAGAATGGACAGCCCTCTACCTGCTGGCCGCCAATCACTTACCAACCAGAGGAGGCTGGCTACAGGCTCCTACATCAGGCCTGGGTCCCATTTGTTCAGCCTGAGAGGGGTCCTTGGTTTTTGCCCCTGGGTGAGTTGGTACCTAATTAAACTCTACCCAGGGCAGCTTGCACTAAATACACGTAGGCTGAGAGGAAGCTGGGAGGAGAAGGCAGTCATTACTTAAGCAGGGAAAGTGACTTTTTCGAGAGTGGGAAGAAAGGGACCCCTCTGATCACTTTGTTTACTCTAAGCCGAGCTTCAACGCCAACACGAAAACCAGGAGAAACGAGAATGAAGGGGGAAATCCAGAGACCACACGTCCCTAAACCAGGCCTGTGTCATCTGGAAGCAAGAGGGAGGTTTGTCAGCTCTCTAGACAATGCTGGCTGCAGAAAAAAAAATGACCCAAGCGCCCTTGTGGCTTTGGAGTCATTGCTCATGTGCTACAGGCCTGTGTACTCAGGAGCTGGAACTGTATAAATGGCTGTGGAGACAGAAAGGAACAGATGTGTGTCAAAGAGCCCAAGGACCGAGCGGATGGTAAAGTTACACCAGGCACTGAGGAGCAGGGGAATGTGCAGCCCAAAGCCTGGGCCCCGCCAGGCGGGATCCAAATGATCAGAATGGGGGTAAAGAGAGAGCCTGCAAACAAAGGTGGTGGTAGATCTGGAAAGGCCTTGGGGCTTTGAGCCCTGGTTAAGTCAGTGGAGGAAACTGATTCTGAGGGCGAAAACACTGGGCCAATGTGACCAAAAGGAAGACCAGAACCCAAGTACTGAGCACGTGTAAACCGAGTTAGAGGACTAAAGGGACTTCTCCTTAGAGAAAGGTGTTCTTCCTGGCCTGATAGTTTAGCCATTATTAAGCACTTGCTGTATGCAAAGCAATATGTTGGGCATCTGGGGCCGCAGGAGCTAGAATCCTTAAATGACCCAGCAGGGGAGACTCCTTCCTTTTGTGTGCTGGATAACAAAGGCAGACAGTGGGTGAGCTTCTGAATGAGGAGAAGGAAGTCAACATCTCGGAGAGCTCCACTTTTACTCTTAGTCTACAGCTGAATTCCAGAAGGGAGGTAAGGCCACAGGCAGCCTGGGGCCAGGGACCCCTTTACCTCCAACCTGAACTCCAGGGCCTTCCAGATTCTTCAGTCTAGATGGTGGCAGAGGTCACATGGACCCTTCACTTCCCCTTCCTTGGAAAGCCTGCCTGACTTTATTTCCCCGGGGGAGGGGGGGGCTAGGCTAGAGATTTTGATGCAAATCAAGAAGGCAGCTTTTCAAGTCAGGACTAGCCTGCACTGTAGGCCCAGACCAACAGAAAAGAGCATCTTAAGCGCACACCAACCCCCAACTCTCCCTCTCTCCCTCTCTTCTTCTCCCTCTCTCTCTTTCTGGAACTTGATAAGGGAATACTGACTCCCTTAACAAAACAAAGTTGGGAATCTCCAAGGTTTCGAATTATGAGGGGAGTCTCCCAGCAGAGAATTTGAACTGGCTCAAATACACCCCTCTCCCCCGGGCACACTCCCCCCGGTGTCCCCTAGATTCCACTTGCCCCTTGGGGTGTTTCAGTGTGATCACAGGTGCCCTCCTTCAAGCCACCTGGCCTGGGCCCGGCCTTTGCTCTTGGTTTCTTCCCTCAGCACTGGGAAACATGCTGGAACCTTCAAAGCGCATTCCTGAGCACTCACTACCGGGGGACTGGAGGGAAGCGCAAACAAAGAGGCCAGGGTGCTGCAGCAGTTAGCTTACTGAGTCTGTGGGCCAACAGGGCTGGCCCAAGTTCAGTCAGACTTCTTGGCTCTGGGCCAGCCAGAGCTGGCAGTGTGCCCTCTCCGGCCCACTACTCAGACCTCATTGCCCCTAAATTTGGGCACCCTTCCCCCAAGCTCACTCACGTAAGTCCCAGGAAGCCCTCCTACCGCTGCTGGGCAGGCCTCTCAGAATACTACTTCCTCATTCAGGTTTAGGTGGATACTTCGAGGCCTCTGTGAGAGCTTCCTGAGAAAGTGAATGAGTTGTCCAATAGCAGGGTCCCTTCCCTTTCTCAGATGGCCTGCGGGGCTGGGATAGACTGAGTTCTCTGCCGGTTAGCTTGAGTGCTTGTGAAAACTTGATAACTTAGATCCTGTGATGCACAAAAGTACAAGCATAGTCTGTATGTGTCGAGGTTGGGACTCGGAAGTTCCCTACACATAGAAACAGGGGGTGAGGGTGGGTGAGTGTCAAGTCACATGGTCCTCCATGGGGAGTGAGCAAGAGTGGTTCAGTCATTCCTTCTCCAGCCTTTAGAGGCTCAAGTCTCTGGTCTGGTCAGCATTGTGCTGACGGACGGCTGGGGCAAGGAAGCCAGGAGGAACAGCCAAGGTTTCCAGGAACCTGCTTTCTCTCTCCCTCAAAAGCTGAAAGTCTGTTTTCACTGTGTGTGTGTGTGTGTGTGTGTGTGTGTGTGTGTGTGTGTGTATGAGAGAGACAGAGACAGAGAGACAGGGGGGGGGGAGTAGGGGAAAGGAGTATGAGACATGGTCTTAGCATGTAGCCCAACCTGGCCTGGAATTTGATATGTAGCCCAGGTATTCTTGAACTGCTAAGTCTTCTGAGGCCTGGGATTACAGGTGTATGCCACTATGACCAGTCCGTGTGTATGTTTTGCACAGGGGCTCGTGATGCCCAGAGCTCCTGGGAGGGAGGAAGGCTCAAACAATTGTCTGACTTAAGCTTGTGTCTCTGGGACTGCAGTTTTAGGCCACCACACCTAGCTAGGATTTTTTTTTTTTCCCTCTGCTTCCCTATCCGACCCAGTACTAGGAATCGATCTCACACACATTCTAGAAAGTTCCTTAGCACTGAGCTACAGCCTCAGCCAGTCTTATACTTTTTGTTTTGAGACAGGGTCTCCATATATTGCTTAGGCTGGCTTTGAACTCTGAATCTTTGTGTCTCAGGCTCCTAAGTCACAGGTACAAGATGTATGGGTGGTACAGGTCCAGACGCAGGTCCTTACGCTTGTCCAACAACTGCTTCACCCACCGAACCTTCCCTCAGCCCTAAGGACGTAGTTTTTAAGCTAAAGTGGGATGCTGTGTTTTTACCCATACACTTATATACTGTGGACGGCCACAAACACCTTCGGCCCAGCCCACTAAATGGGGACTTGCTGGCTGGTGTCCTGTGTTTTCTTCCCCAAGACTCCACCCAGGCAACTGGATCCTGTTGGCTGCAGATGTTACGGGTAACGCCTGCACACGACAACAATTCTTTTTCAGGGGGAGGTGGTATTTGTTTTGAGACAGGGTCTCATGCTGCTGATGTTGGTGTTAGACTCCTGATCCTCCGGTCTCTACCTGCTGAATGCTGGGATTCCAGATGTGTGCCAGGACCGTGGCTACATGGCAAATAATTCTAAGGCTGTCTCTCAAAGGGTGCTAGGGGAGAAGTGTAGGCCTCTCCCGTACAACTCTTAGCTGCCTTGCTGCAGGATTGCCCCTCCCTGTTAATTTTCTGCCTATACTTTTAGGATAGTTAAAAAGAAAAAAAATTTTTAAAAAATTTGTCCTGAGAAAGAGAGAGTTGGAAAAATAGAATTTTACCTTGAAAAAGCCCAAACTGACAGAAAAATCAAAAGACCAGTGCCACAAACACCCATATTGGAAGGCACATTTTCAAAAGCACATTATTACTTATCTGATATGCCCATCGCAAAGAATTGAAAAGCCTTCTGGAGGTCTGAATTAGTTGAACCTTATCCTAAACTGTTACTGAGGAATGTATTGTCCGCATAGATTACAGCAATTTTTTTATGCCCCACCCTTACTTCCAGACCCCAGTATGGTGGCTAATGCTTATAATCCTAGAATTCTCAAAGCTGAGGCAGGAGGATCACTGTGAGTTCCAGTTTAGCCTGGCCTACAGACTGAGACCTTGTCTCAACAACAACAAAATAAGTAATATGCACGGTGATGATTACTTCTAATCTAGCACCTGGGAGGTGGGCTCAGGAGAATCAGTAGTTCAAGGTTATCCTTACCTACTAGTGGGTTCTTGTGTGTGACATAAGACCCTGTCTCAAAAAAACAAACAACAGGGACTAAGGAGATGGCTCAGTGGTTAAGAGCGCTGGCTGCTCTTCTAGAGGTCCTGAGTTCAATTCCCACCAACCACATTGTGGCTCACAAACCATCTGTAATGAGATCAGATTCCTTCTGGTGTGCATGAAGACAGAGCATTCATATACATAAAATACAGGAATAAAGAAGTAAAAAAAAGGCCGGACGGTGGTGGCACACGCCTTTAATCCCAGCACTCGGGAGGCAGAGCCAGGCGGATCTCTGTGAGTTCGAGGCCAGCCTGGGCTACCA